TATTACTAATTACTACTACTACTATTATTATTATTAGGATATTATTTTTTATTGAACTGTTCTTATCTCAACCCAGGAGTTTTCTCACTTACTCTTCCGATTCTCTCCCCCATCCCACCGGCGGCAGGGAGTGAGCGAGTGGCTGGGGGGGGGGGTTGGGGGCGTTGCCGACTGAGGTTAAACCACGACATGACTCAATGCAGATTAGGAAACTCTGAGGCAAATACATGCAGAAATATGAATTCTGATACTCATTCTATCATACTACCGATAACAATATTTATCTGAGACCTTCTGGAAACTTCAGCCTGAAATGGTTACAGTGTGGAGACAGTTAAGGTTTCCAGATTTACAGGTTTAAAGGTCAGAAGGATCAGTGGTGATCCCCAGTGATCCCCTGAACAGAACCCACATCATCTCACTTGCTAATTTCCTCATGAAGCCCATAATATATTTGAAAAAGAACACATATTTAAGACATCAAATCTTTATTTAAAGACTTCAGTCCATGGAAAACTCATCACACCCCTCCATAAATTGTTCAAGTGTTAATAGTCATTGTGGCCAACAAAAAGCAGGTTTTCCCTAGCCCTCTGAGATTTGCTTAGTGATATAAATTTTACCCTAAAACTAAAAGTAATAGTCTGGACAGCTCTTGGGACAGTCTTTTTACTATCCTAATGTTGTGAGTTACAAAGATATAAAAGCTTAACACCTGCTGCTAAACACCCTCTTTAGTTACTAATAGAATACAAAGGAATTAACTGACATGAAAAACTGAATATAATTTTTCCACATACAGAGCAGAAATATTTATTGAATAACCTTGGATATATTTAATACCTCTTCTGTATCACCATTGGCAGTTTTGTCATCTTCATGCCGTACTCATCTAAACTATTTTTAGGGTTTTGTTTCTTCCTGAATAATTCCTGCCTGTGGTCCCACTGGCCATATAATTTTTAATATACCTTTAGCTTTTTCTCATAACTATCAATTCATACTGCTTGTTATCAACTTCTTAATTCTTCCATTTCTACTTTCACTTGCCCTTTTATAACAATATATTTTAAATTCAGATAATTCTGCTTATATGAATACAGTTCTGTATTTATGGGTAGCTAATAAAACATTCTTCTAAATGCATACAGAACGGCCACAGGCAGGTTCTGACACTGTTTCTCTTAGGAAATTATAATCTCTTAACATTTCACTAATGGTACGGGATGCCCAGTATGTCTCCAGCATTAAAATCCCTTCTAAAACAACAGTTTAATAAGGAAGCAACAGGCTGCACTGCCTGTGATAAGGTAGCCCAAACAGTTACAAACCAAGCACAGCAGGAACCTTCTTTACCACCTCATCCTTTGCAGGCCTCTATGTTTGCCAAAAGACCAGCAAAACCCAGAAGCAAAAACATTTACCTTAGAGTAACTTAATGCCATTTTCAGCCACCGAGCTTCTCAGAACTCCTCATCTCGAGCTGACACAGACAACAGGAATACCTCCTTGACCATCCTTTCTGTACTCCATGTCCTCAAGCAACAACACAAGCTAAATTTTTCTCCTTGAAGATGACAGCAATCTCAGTTACTCAGAATTTAATGTCACTGCCTGCTAGCAGAACGCGCTGTCTCAGCTTAAACACAAGCACTGAGAGAACGGACGATACTTCAATGGCCAAAGTACCATCGAAACCGGCCTGTTGCCTAAGTTAGTGAGAACTTGTTCTGGTTTCCAGGCTGAGACTGAGAAGTCACTCACATAAGGTTCCACAATGGACAGTAAAAACTCATAGACACATAACGTCGAGTTAAGGCTCAACCATCCTGATCAATTGACAGGTATAATCGAGGAGCTGCCACTGACTAGTCCTTCACTCTGAGGCCAGCCTCTGCCAGCCACCTCTCTGCACAGGGCCAGAGCAACTTCAGCCCAAAGGACCCAAGTCCCGTAGATTTCTAGGACCCAGTAGCATTTATTTTTCAATGATAGACCCCTGTGGGGAGTTGCCAGAGTTAACACAGGTACAGAGCCCACTAAGGAGGTCCTCTCTGCAATTTCTCTGTCCTGGGTGAGGATAGAGATACTTGCATATGGGAAATGAATGAATGTTCAATCCTTCATTCTTGCTATACCATGCTTTATTCATCCTATGCAATGGGTTTATTGCTGAGATAACTTCATTTTCATGCCACGTTTATATGACACGTGGACATAATGTTGGCCTCACCTGGATTTCCTTACCAGTTACCCCCTTAGCTCACAGTCTTGCTTTTTATAACATGTTTGTTATCATGAAAGGTATTGGATTGCAATATATAAGACTGAGATTACTCCTCAAGGACTTGTGCAGCTTTGGCTAAAGCACAGCAGGCTCATGCATCCTCTTTTGCTGTGTCTCAGTCTTTGCATTTAGGAGGTAGATTCTGCCCGTATGCATGTCAAGGGACCGACAGTCGACCCGGGCCCATTCGTCCGTAAGCACGAAAGACTCTCAGCACCATCCAGAATGTCTGTCTAGCACATACCCCCACTGCCACAGCATGGAAGAACTGCACACATAATGAATTTATCTTGACAGCATCCTTAGATGGTTATGAAACATTATCTCTTCAGACAAGGAACGGAGACAGGCATGCATTCCAAGCAATATTAAATGGAGGGTTGAGAACTGCTGAGTGACAGCCATCTACTACACAGACTGGGGCTGAGATAGCGAATACGTATCACAAAGGTCAAACGAGAACCTCAGTGTTTCTGCTCAATTATCTCTAATATTACACAACCTAGTTTGAAAAAAAAATATGCAATTTCTGCTTAATTTATGTTCCCACTTGAAAAATATTTTCTTTTCTCCTAAATTCCACCGCATCTTTTCCTAAATTCCATAGCACACTATAAAGTGTCTCCATTTCCGATACCTGTTTATGATTTAAAGTATGATTCTACAAAACATTTGAAAGCTAATAATATCATAATCTTTTAGAAGCTGAAAAAAAGAACCCTAGAATAACGTATTTGTCGCATTTATTGCATTTTCTTCACTGCTTTGCTAGTTCAGTGTCTTTACTTGCTTTTAGCCTGGCAGCTTCAGTGTTTAAAATCATTTCGTGCCCTCTAGTGGCAGTTCTGCCAGGCACCCTGAACTGCTGCTCTGGGAGGGCTGGGAATTGGACACTGCAGTTACAGATGATGTAGAAATGGAAGAAAAACAGTTTATTCCACTTTTAAGTAAAATTTATTATCCATCTCTACAGTTTAAAAAAATTACAGTTATTTCTAGTTATGATGAGAAAACAAAACAAAATCCAGCAAAAAACAAACCAGCAAAACAAAATCATCTAGAGATACAGCACAAATAGCAGCCAAAAAAAAAAAAAATATCAGATACTGGGTAAGCATTTGACTGAGTTTGCTCTTAGAAATTATATTAATGAAAATTGACCTATTGGTAGCCATTTACTCTCACAAAGCACTAGTCAATGTGTTTCCTACTAGGACATTGTTCAATATCCAGATGCACAGTTTTTCCAGGCTCCACAAAAGGGTATCATCATAATGAGAAGGCTAAGTGCTTCCAGAGCTTCATCTTCTCTCATGGAAAATCACTTCGCTTTTCTTACTAAAGCAGCAAAGTGATAGCATAGAGGAAAATTAACAAAATAAAGAAGGAAAGATTTGGGGGCCTCAAGGAAAAGTTGCACAGGGGTGATACACACTTTTATTATTTTTGGTTTCAGACCCTCTACTCATTCACTTTTTCCTAATTCAAGATAGCCTAAAATCCTTAGAATTTCCAAAAAAGGTTCCCAAATTTTTTATTTTAAGCTTCTGCACCTGAGCAGAAAAATAAATCATGCTGCTTTCAAACAGCTCTTTCAGCATATATTCTCAGGGGTCTTGAGATGCCTAACTCCCAATTAAAACAATGAGATATCTCATACATAGACATCAGTAGCCATTTGGCTTTAGTCTGGTTTTCAGTTTCACCCCCCAAATTACAAATCCGCAGGAACACATTAAATAATAAATATCTTCACTGAATTATAGGTTATCAGTCTCAATAGGATCGGAATAACATTCACTTTGACTCTGAAAATTCAATTCCTAATGAAGATGGTAGAAATTCCCGACCAAGCAAAACATTCAGATACATGCTTTGTGCAGCTAAAATGGGGTAAGTCAATATGTGCCATTCTTATTTTTAAATCCTTGCCTCTGCTAGTCCGAACAACAAGAAACAAAGGTCAATCAACCCAGCTCTTCTACTTGGCACTGCAGATGGTTACCGAGGGCCTAAGAAGCTGGCTTCTTCAAACCTTTTAAAAATCTTTTTTAGGGTGGCTTCTAATTTTACAGGTTGGTTTTCTTGAAAATCATTGTTGAGTTTTTAAAAATGTTAATTTTAACATCCACAACAGAGTGCCTGCACACAGTGGTAATCAGAGTTGGCTCACCGGTGGGAGAAAGATGGAAAATGTCATTTACAACCTCGTTATTGTTCCAAATTCTCTTTGCAGTTTTGTTCACTAGGGAAATAATATAACACACTTTTTCCTTTCATAATTTTGCCTTATTGAAGGCGTTAGTGCCTGAAAAACCACGACCCAATTTCACGTAACTTAATTTTTGTTAAAATCTCAAGATAAAACTGGAAGATTTTAGAGAATAACTACTTCACTAGTTTACACTTATTTATTTAAGAAAGATTATTCTCATTAGCTTTACAGATCTTATGCCTTCAAATCCTCCTGATAGCAGTTTTTGCACCTGCTGAACTTGACACCTTTGCTTGTGTCCGCTTGAGACACAAATACTGAGCTACTATTTACTAAGAAAACGTCAGATCTAATGTATAAAGGGGGCAGGGGGAAGCAGGACAGCTGCCACCTCCACCACCGGACCCAAGGAAGTAAGGCAGGTGCCCAGCTCAACTCGTCCTGCCCTGGCTGTGACAGCTGCAGCCTGACAGGCGTCGGCACAACCACTTGGAGCAGCAAAATCCCATTCCTGAACCGGCTTTGCAGCTGCGCAAGACATCTTGTTCGTCACTCCAGGTTGTTCAATGAAAGCAAATCTTAAATGTCTTTATTTATACAACTTTAGTAGGCCATCATCATTTCCAGTTCTGATCACCTCATGTGAAAAAAAAAAGACTATTTCAGAGAAAACAACATTAATGATTAAGGACATTGAAATTAAGATGAATAGGACCGAAAAGTTTGCGAAAGGAGTTGAATCAGGTGCAGTAAAATATATATAAAACAGTAAGTGGTATAGAAAAGGCAGATCAGGAGCTAATTTTCTGTAGTTTAACCTGTGAGGATTCTCATGAATGCACAAGACTGCCCAGATCAATGTTAGGAGTAACTTTGGAAGGAATACAAAGCCCCAATCACTTATCTTGATTTGCAATAATCAGAATTTGGGATGAAATCTAAGACCAAGGTTAAACTGATCCACATCTACCTCCTGTTGGGGTTTTAGTCCTTACTCTACGTCGGCCACATGGGTGGAGGGCAGCACGCTGGACTGTAGATCAGGTGCCATGGCAATCTCTGCATTTGGCAGAAGAGAACCACGTCTGCGTCAAAGGCAGACACTGACGGCGCACCGGCTGCAGCGGCAGAATGCTGACAATCACTAGCCTTGACGGAAAAAGGACTTTGGCAGTTCTAAGAGCACTGACATGCTGGTGCGGGGTTTGAGGAGCTCCTCAGAGCCTGCTGGGGGGTGGTAATCATGACCAGGCCAGGTCAGGGTGCTTCCACCAGTACCAAGTGAGCTGGCGGGGAAACCCAGAAGCCTTGATACAGAGTTGTCTGAAGTCAAGGTCTTCAGCTGCACCATCCTGGGCAGCTGCCAGCTCTCTCTCAAGAGGAGGCTCATGCTTCTCGCTTTAGCATTGACATTGATACTCAGAATTGCTCTCCGTAAACCTGCTGCTGCAAATTTAGTGCTTGGGTTTGGAGATGGTAGCACAGATGATGCAATATGAACGTGTTCCACTGGGCTGGCCACCGAGGAGCTGGTTGTGTGGTGAACTATGTGGCTCTTTGGGCAATATTGGTATCGGCTAATTAAAACAGACCCAAAAGAAAATTGGGGCTAAAATGCTAGGCTGGGGTGAGCTGATATATTAAAAAAATGTTAAGTACACAAGCCGAGCAACAGTAACAGAAAAGCTCTGTGACAATATGTGCACTAACATTGGAAAAATGAAGGTCAGAAGAAAAAAAAAAGAACACAAGCAAAACCCAGATATCAAGCACTAAAACCAGCAATGAAAGGAAGCAGTGGGCCTTGTAGCATTCCAGTGAATCGCCCCCAGATGAAGACAATTATTTGTCACAAAAGCCTTTGAGAAGCAACATACATTTTGAACTACATCAGAGAAACGAGCAAGAACTGCATATCCGGCAGGATGCTGATGGGAAGGCATGAAGAACTGGGGACCAAACAGGCACATCTCCTCCGGATAACTTCTAATTGTTTGTGAACAGGTAGAAATCTTAAGAGAAACTTGCATCCAGGGATCCAAAGAGAGCTAAAAGATCATCAGTGGGATGGGATCTATCTAATTAGACAACACAGGACCAGGTGCCACAGGAGTTACTAGGGGAAATGATCAGGGCAGCGAAAAAAGATCGGGGATGGGATTAAGGCTGTTCCACAGAAAACCAACATCATCATCAGCATGACCACATTTTTCAAGAGGGCTGAAACACACATTATCCATAACTAAAATGCACATTTTCCTAACTCTAACCTTACTTTTCTTTGTAAGCAACAGCCAGCTGGAGGAGGACCTCCAGAAACAGCGCAAACCCCCCCCTTGGCATCTGCGTGATGCACCTCCTGCAGAGAAGCTGAAGCTGAAGCATCGGTTCATCCTGCTCATGGCGCGGGAACCCTGGGAAGAAAACCAAGCGCCCGAGAAGGCGCGCGAGCTTCTCGGCCAAACCTGGAGAAGTGCTGAAACACCTCTGCGGGGGGGGAGCAATCCTGATGCGGTCGGGCGGCGGAAATCTCGTAGGCTTATGAGAAATCAGCCAACGGATTCAAAGAGGCTGAACGTGCAGGTGTAACAACCTGTAAAACCCGGTTCGAAACACTCAAAACGGGGCAGATCGGG